GTCGGGGTTTGTGGACGGTGAGCAGCGGGGAGAACTTTTTTTATTTTCTTTCTGAGGAGCGGCATGAATGGGGTTTTAATCAGATATACACAGCACCGAAAGCAAAATACGTGTACAAAATATTGGTGGGGACTGTCCCCCTACCGGTCAAGATTGGTTCCTTAACTTCCTTAAGGAAGTTACGCCTATGATTGTTCAGATTAACTTGTCTTCTTTATGGCTTTTATTCGGTGCTTTACTGCATTTGTTTTGGGAAAATATGAGGAAAAAATAAATACAGAAAAAAAAAATATATTTTTTTTTAAATCGCAAAATAATTATAGGGTGGCTAATGCCAAAGAAAGGGTGACTGAAGCCACTCTTAAATAGGTCTAACGACGCTTATGGTGCTGCCGTCAACACCTTCGATTATAGAGGATGGAGTTTAGCCTGTTTTTCAGTGTTTAGTCCTGCTTCTCTCCTAGAAATAGCTATAGGCTCTGCTTTTACTCTGACTAACTGTATGTGTTTTATCCCATCCATGGTATGAAAACAGGCTCATTGATCATCTGCTGAACTGTTTGTTTTTTTAGACAGAGCCACCTGTGGAGCCATTTCTTTTTTGTAGATCTGCTTATTTTTCAATGCCTTCTTCTTTCTACTTGAATCTCTATTCAGCCTCAACAGAAGGCCGCTCACACTGAGTGCTTCTGCTGGAGATTTCTACTGTTAAAAGGGAGGTTTTTACTCTCCACTGTCGCTAAGCGCATGCATGTTGTGTGGGATTGCTACAGAGACAATGACAAAATGAAACCAAACGTCTACCACCTCTTCATGCTCATCCAGAAGAAGTAAATCCTGCAAAGTCAATAATGTGATGCAATCAGCTGGTTTTCACCAATCTGGTTGAATCGTCTCTGTGAAGTACATTGAAATGATGTGTTCTAAATTGGTGCTATATAAATAAACTGAATTGAAATTAAAATCGTACATATATGTTTTACTGCATCTAAGAATAATTTGAAATATAATAACCTAGCTTTTATTTGTGTAGGCACTTAAACCTGAAATGGCTTAGCATTAACTACCTATCTGCCACGTTACAGGGCAAACTGAAGTGCCCAAACAGGAGCCACAGAGTGCTTCAGAGGGTCAGTGCAAGTTGACCTCAGAAATGTTCCTCACACCTCCTCTGCCTGCGCTGCCACTCCCCCTCTCCCGCCCAGCACCAGATGGGAAGTGTAGCCGCATTTTTAAAGCCTGCACGCAGGGTTACAGGCTGTTGTGCTGGCAGTGCTGCTGAAGGAATGAAATATTCATGCAGGCCCCAAATAATAGAAAAAAAGAAAGAAAATGAATGGACTCCCCGGGAGAAGAACGTGCCGATTTATTCAAGTAAGTCCAGGCCTCATTAAACTGCTGGCGGCGAGGCAGGTCACGGTGATTTTCACTAACACTGCCCGACCCCGACTGTCTCCTCTCACGCAGAACCACACAAACACCAACTCTATACACTTCAACAGGGGTTGGGGAGGTGAAAGAGGCTGAATATAAAGCGTGTCCAAGTCACCATCACTGGTCTACATGATCTGAGATCTCCCAGCGGGACAGGTCTGAGCTGGTGCTGAAGCTGCTCCTCTGCTGTAATTGACGCCCTAATGAGTGATTAGCTGGACTGCGTCGCTGGCAACATATGGGAGATGTGGGTGACACCGTGTGCGCCAGAGGTGCGTGGCTTGCGAGAGGTGCCAAGGGACACCAGCTGATAGGCACAGAGAAGAAACCGGGTTACTTAAACTAAAATTTGTAGCCTAATCTATCATCCTTCAAAGGAATACATCTTCATTTCGGTATAACAGGAACCTGATTCTTTAATGGTCTAACTACCTTTTTTATGAATGTTTTCATCCTGTTCTCTAAAAGATTCATAAATCGCCTTGAGACAACTTATCAGACCACTTATCAGTTATCATGGTTCGCTGTATAGACAGGTGTGTCTCAGCCTGGTCTCCCACCTGTTCGTTTTATTACTCTTCTGCAAATAATCAGGGGAAGATTGGCCATTTTTTTACTGTTTGTTTGAGCATGTATTTACTTCTAGGTCCCTTTCTCTCAGAGGGCAGAGCCAACAGATTATTGCTCCGAGAAAAAAAAATACTCTGATTCATTTTTCCATGATTGATGGGAATAAAGGAATGACTGCAATACGGCAAAAATATTTTGTTTTTTTTTAAAGACGTTAACCCATTCATTATTTTGCACACTGTAGAATTTTGGATTCAATTCAATTCAGTTGATTTTTATAGCACCAATTCACAACAAATGTTATCCCAAGGCACTTTACAGTTCCTCAGATCTTCCAGTGAAATATATTCAGAGTTTTCTATCTAAGGAAAACCAGTTGATTGCAACGACTCATTGACTCAAATTCAAACCTTCACACAAACCATGCTTGTAGCGACAGTGGAGAGGAAAAGAAAGGCTCAGTGTTAGCGGCCATCTGCTGAGGCCGACTGGGGTTCATGGATATTAGCCATAAAATACCTAATAGTTTACAAATGTAATTTTTAATTATGGCAAATTATACTGACTTTAGCACTTTATTTCTGCAGCTCACCCTCCAACATTTTGAGGATAAAAAAACTGAATATCCTATTCTCATGTATCCTGTGATTTGTCTAGCCTGACGTAGTCCTACTCAATTCTAGTCAGAATATGAGTCTGATACTGCTCCATAGAGCTGTGATTATAGGGCGTGTTTCGAACGAACCAGGAAAAAAAATGCCTCTGCACTCAATTGGATAGACCTACAACCAATAAGAGTAACGGAGTGCTTGACATATGTTAAGCGACGCATAGTTGTTGTCAACAAAAATCAAAACGTACAGTTGCACGCCTAGCATAAGAAGATGAGCCTTGATCGCGTTTCTCTGTTCCTCTTTTGAAATGAATTTGCTGTCGATATCTTCTAGAACAGACCTAATAGCAGAATCTACACACCTCAAACTCTCCAGCGGCAGCCATTGTTGTTGTCACCCAAGCGCGCTTTGGTCACGTGGTTGATTACGTTACTGTTGATCATCTGTCCATCATCGTATAGAGCCCGCCCTGACAATTTGATTGGCCCGCCAGATATTGTGCGAGCATACTTCCGCTACTATGGAGCAATGCCAGACCGAACTTCCCGACCTCAAACGTAGTGGACGGGACTAAGTTCGGAATGGCACCCAGGCTATGATTTGTCCCGAAAGGGAAGAGAAAACCTAATGTTTTAATTTATTTTGTTATGAATTCATAGAGGTCAAAAACTGTTAAAATGACTTGCAGTAGAAACTGTTTCTCTGTTAAAGAATAGTTTGTATCCTGCTTTGCTAACTTCTGCAACAGTGCTAATGGTAGCGTCAAACTAGCCAACTGAACTTCTTAAACATAAAGTAAATGTTGCTAATGAAAAATCACACTTTATACATTGTCAGGGAAATATATTAATGTCACCCTGGTGAAATATATTTGATAAATCTACTGTTTTAGAACAATGTCATTCCTTAAATGTGGCAACAGCTAGCACCAAGGTTTAAGTCAGACTAGATAGCTTTCTGGGCTTAAAGATATTGTGAAGGATTTTCGCGAATTTTTTTTCTTCTGAGGCCTTTCTCTTTTTTTTCTCTCACACACTTCATAGACACTTTTTCTCTTACCACCCTCGGCCATTTTCAAACAACCGCGGGGAGAAATGTAAGCTTCAAATGACTGTCTGAAACCGTAGTTCACCACAGATAAATGCCTGAAAGTGCGGATTCGCAGAAAAAGATAACTGATGGGACAAGTACGTAGGAGGGCCTTACTTAAACAGATCACCAGAATGATTGACAATTGGGAGGACCGCTTATTTAGATGATCCACCCGGAAATAAAAGATTATCCACTATATCTTTAAAGCTTGGTTGTCTGTGGTGAAAGTATTCTGTACCACCTTTTTGACTGATTAACACTTTATGACGTAAACACTTATCAAATAAAGACTGTCTAAACTTTATTATTTGTTTGTTTTTAACATTAGAGGACTCACAAGGTAAACCAAACTAGCTACCCACCTGGTTATACAGAAACACATTCTGCTAATTTTTATATTGATTCCAATTTAAGTTGAAATTAGCATTAATAAAGAGCAGCAGGGTAGAGCCTAAAGAATAAACCAAAGTGTGTCCAACTTAAAAAGCAACTTTCGTAAATGTTAAATTATCTGAGGGTTTCACTTTTTCCATTCATTATTCCTAACATCCTCTGCACCTGAAGCTATAGCATAAAAGTCTAAGAGAGGAAAAAGATTTTCCTCTCCATTGTCGCCGTATGCATGTGAGTGCATATGAGAGGCAATCAGTTCTCCTCAGAAAACTGAACCAATCTGACTGTATGATCTTATTAAATAAAGTGCCTTCTGTTGGTGTGTTTTGAATGGGTGGTATAAAATAAAATTAATTAAATGTTTTTACATAAAAACTCTCTTAGATAAGGCCTATAATCTATAAGTTATACAAGTTCATTTTAATTAATTAGTTTTATTTTACTTGAGGTCTGCTAAGAATAAAATCTGTCTCATAATTAGCTGCACCACTCAATTGGTTGAATTATCAGTGATTTCCAAAACTTCAATCAAGGTGAAGTCCAAGTTCAAAAGCTGATCAACTCAGCAAAATGTGTTTTGACATCAGAACTTTGTTTCCTGAAAAAATATCTGAGGGTGTTTCTTTTTCATTGCAGTACAGAGATACGTTGCTTTTTTTCTTTCTCTATTTAGACCTCCAGTGCTCTGCACGCTCCTGAATGATTAATATTCCAGCGCCCCTCATGTGTAAGCATAACAACAAGGTCTTGATTGAGTTACAAAGCACAATGGGAGAGAAAAAGTCAAGCTTTGTTTGATTGTTCTCCAACAGGGTCAGAGGCTGCTGTCTCCTGAGGCTGCAGGGCTGTCAATGGGCAGGGAGTGACAGCAAGGTGACTGAGGGGAGGCTCTATAAATGCTTGGCGCAGAGCTATCCTCTCCAAAGTAGTGGGGAATCCTGTGCGTAATTCCACTGCAGCGCACAACCGCACACGATGAGCGCAAAAGCAGAGCTTCCGGGCTGGCCAGAGTACCCGGAGGACCTTGCCCTGCTGCAGCAGAGAAACTTGGCCCACATCAGCTCCAAAACTTGGATTTCATCTAATTCGGACCGCGCCTTTACGCGGAGGGAAGCGCAAGCTGCAGCGGAGGCGGGGATTTCACTGGAGAAACTCGGGCCGGTGGGGAAAATCCACGAGTGCGCTTCCACAGAGACAGGCCACGCACGGGCATCTGATGGAGACAGGGGGGGCAGCTTAGGGCCCCAGAGACACCGGCGGGTCGCAGCCAACGCCAGGGAGAGGAGGAGGATGCACGGTCTGAACAAAGCTTTTGACGAGCTGAGGAGCGTCATCCCATCTTTGGAAAATGAGAAGAAGCTATCAAAGTATGATACTCTCCAAATGGCGCAGATTTACATCACGGAGCTGTCTGAGCTCCTGTCCGGCGTGGTTCAACAGGAATCCAGGGGCCCCCGCTCAGCGTCTGCAGATAAGACCTCCAGGAGGAGTTTGATTCAATCCCTCCGACCAGAGCAGGCAGAGCAGCCTCCAATCCTGCTGAACGCAGAGGAGCAGCAGCAGAGAGACCCATCCATCAACCACCTGATCATACTCAGACCTCCATCTCTGTTAGAGTCAAATAAATCAGAGGCCTCCACAAACAGCAGCGATGACGAATCCTCAAATCACAGCAACATGGAGGACAGTGGAAGTGGGAGACAGTGACAGAAAACCAGTTACCTCTCACTGGTTCCCACATGTTCATCTGGCAGTGGAGAACAGCTGTCACCTCTGATAGATTAGATGATGCACTGCTGGATTTCTAAAGTGATGGACACTCATTCATTCTCATTTCTCTGAGATCCTGATTTGGTTTCTTCTTGATGAACTAAAAAAGGTCTTTATTTGCACTTTAAGGTCCTGAACAACAAGTAGCGGCATTTTCCAGAGTTACTGGTTGGATTCTAGCTTTTATTTCTAAATAAAACAAGTATTTTTCTATTTAAGAATAGCTTATGTGTATTTTATGAGGGATGTTTTTGCTACAATAAAGATTTAATGAAGTACTGCGTGTGCATTTTAATTTATTTTTGTATAAATGACTGCAAGCCAGATATATGCATAAATTGCACCAAAAAATGCTTTAAAACATTACATATAATAGTAAACATACCATGTTTTATGAGAAAATAATACAATAATCATTCATTTACAACATTTCTTTAAATAAAAGAAGTAAGCTCTTTGCAATGGTATTCAAACATATTCTGCTTTTACTCATTATAACAAAAAATTTAAAGTATCTATTTGGGATTTTTTTAGATAGATCAACACAGATGTGACTTTGTAGAACCATCCAGCAGCAATTAAAAAATCTTTTGGGAAATTTCTGTCTTCCAAAATAGCTTAAGTTCAGTCAGTTAAGATGGAAAATCTACATTTTTACTAATTCAATTCAGCCTGGACTTTGACTAGGCCATTCTATTAAAAATATGCTTTGATTTAAGTTCCATAGTTGTTCTGGTTGTATACTTAAGCTTGCTGATGAGAAGCAAACCTCCATCTTGGTCTCATGTATTTTGTTGCCTTTAACTGGCTTTCCTCAAAGACTCTCTTGCATTTAGATCCATCAATCTTCCCACCATGTCTGAACCTGCTGAACTAGCCACAAAACACATGTTTTTTTTTTTTTTTTATATATTTTTTTTATTTCTCTAGCTCCTAAAAAGTTATGATGTGCCTTCAGGCTGCAGTTAACCTAATGTAGTTGATTCAATGGATTCTATTTACGGGTGTCACTGTATGAATGCTATTTTTTTTCCACTTTGAATTTTGCTTTATTTTGTGATGGCCTATTATATAAAATTCCAATTAAATGCTATGTTTGTAAATGTGAACATATGTAAGAGTTACTGTAGGCACCGTATCTGGTAAAAGTCATTTGCTTTACAGTGCAAATGCACAAAGCTTCTCTAATATCCAACCTGCAAAGGATACAACAGATATTACTTCACATCTTGCTGTTGCAATTTCCCCCAAAAAGTGCTTTCCAAAAAATAAAAATAAACACATCTGCAAGCACAAGAAGGCAGACTGACAGCAGGCTCCCAGTGGAAGGGATTTTTAGAGCTGTAAAGAAACTAATTATGCTGCGTGACAGTTTATCATTTATGAAACTGCTCTTTTTAGTCAGTCTGTAAGCTGACGGCTTAACATGGGGCTGCCTGCTCCATAGGGAAGAGGAGGCTGGAACTTTGCCAGGTCCTTAGAAATTATTTCTGCCAGCCTCTGTTTGAAACTGCCAGGAGCTTTGGTGGGGGTCGTGGAGACAGTGGAGCGGTTTTCCTCCTCTGGGTCCTTCCTGTCATCCACTGCCTGTGCATTGAATGCTGCACAGCTGTGGTTATCCGCTGGAGGGAGATGCATGCTTTGCTGCATTGCTGAAGCAAAGGGGTCTGCATTGCCGAGGGTAGAGGAAGAAATCTCCAGGGGTAAATGAAAGGGATCTGAGGAAGGGAAGTCTTCTGTCGAATTGTAATTGCAATCCAAATCTTCCAGCGCAGTTTTTTTCATCAAAGAGGGAGAGGTTCTCCTCAAGTTGTAATAAATGTCATCCTCCAAGTTGCTATCCTGATTTACAGCTTCCAGGGAGTGACACCGATCATCCTCTTCATCTTCCTCCCCCTCCCCTTCCTCCTCCTCTTCCTCCTCCTCCTCCTCCACCTCCACACCTTCCCCTCCCACATCCTCCTTGCTGCTGTAGAGATAAGGCTGGATAAGGCAGAGATTCTTCATACTCACAGCAGAGGGGAGATTAATCGCAGAGTATTGGCAGGCATGATCGTCCTTCATGTTAGGTCGGACCCCAACAACACTGTAGATCGCAGGAGCAGCGGTGTGGGAGGCTGCGGCAGGAAGGGCATAAGAGGACATGTCAAGCGATGACCTTTTTTGGACACTGGAGGGCTGGACAGTCTTTTTCATCTGTAGGGAACACAGCCTCATTATAGCCTGTAAGATCTGGGGACCAGAAGGGGTCAGGAAGGTGAACACCCCTTCTCCTGAATCACAGCGACGGCCCGCTTCAATGCAGAACCCTCCCTGAAATCACAAAAAAAAACTACATTCATTTTAGATTTCAACTTGTTCTTTTTTAATATCGAGCCATGCAAAAGTATTCATACACTTTAGAGTTGTCAACAGTAGATTACGTCGCAATCAGGACCTTAAGTGTGATGGGGTTTCATGAAGTCTACACAAAAGTTATATAACTAGGATATGAAAGAGCAAGAATTTTAGAATAAACGTCAGAAAAGTGAAACATTCCTTTGTTTCAAACTCTATTTACATTTATAATACTCTATACAATCCTATGCATATGTCAAAACAACAAAACATATTTTAGTAGAATTTAATCTACATCTTCTAAAACCTATTACACATGGAAAAAAATGTAAATAAACATAACAGTGTCATGATCTTGGTGCTGATGACTGGCTTAATTACAAACTCCATTCACCTGTCTAACTCTCTTTCTAATCACTGCTCATCTGATCCACCTGCTCCGGCCTCTATTTAAGGTGCTTGCATCCAGTCATCAGTGCAGATTATTCTTGTTCCTTCTAGCCAGTGGGGAGAGTGTTTTTAGAGTTCCTTGGTGTTTCTGATTTCCTGATTCTGACCTGTTCTGCCTCTCAACCATTGAGCCTGCCTGTCCCTGTCTGAATGTTTTTTTTTTTTTTCTGAACTGTCTTTGGTCTCAGGGATCTCTTACTCTGCCTGTTCCTGTTCTGAGCTGTTTGCCTGACCTGGCTTCAGACTCCTGCATGTTTTCTCAGTGGCTGGAGCATCTGGGACACTCTGGGCAGAACTCTGGGATCCTACCTTGTTCTCTGGCTATGGACTGAACATGTAAACCAGAGTTTCCTGCCTTATACATCCTAGAAGCTGTTATCTAAGAACTGTTTATTTTAATAAATGCTTTTTGAGTAATCCCACTGTCTTGCCTGAATGCTGGGTCCTTCTGTTCTGAATTGTGACAAACAGACAAGTCAGGAACAGGTTTTGGGACAGTTTAAAGCAGGTTAGATTTAAAGAATTTATTCTAACATCTCAGAAACCCAGTTCAGTTGCTTACATAGATATATGCTGGTGAAGAGTACAATATTTCCTTTGTGGCCTACCCTATGATTCATGCGGGTCTAAGTTTATCGGTAAAGTGGTTTCTACAATGGTGAATGATGGTGGCAAGAACACTGATAAGAAATTGATATGACATTTTCTTTGACCCAAAATTGACTTTTTTTATGTCTTCAGGTGAAAATGTAGCTTTTGGTGTAGTTTACTTCGTCTCTCCCCAGTCCCTCCACCAAAGGGTCAGCTTTAATTAATTTCATTTTCCCGCTGGCTGTTACAACAGAGAAGTTGAATACAGATATAATTAAGTCAGATGATATCTAACATTTAATGTTTGGATTCTTTAAGTGTTTTTTTTTATGATTAAATATAAAATTTAGTTGAAATTGAAGTGATGATTCATCTTCATCAATGCAAAGATGTATTGAGAAAAAGAAACCTTCCTCTCTGGATATATAAAGCTGATCATACTTTGAGAATAATTTTTGCAAAGAAAGGTAACATGGCAGTAAAATAAATACATCTTCATGAATGTATCATAGCATGGAATATAGGCCTGTCCTGTTTCTTTTTGACTAACTGGATGTGCTCTCTTTCATCCTCTGCAGTGGTGTCAAAAGTACATACATTTGGTACTTAAGTAGAAGTATAAATAGTGCAGTTTAAAAACACTCTGATTAAAGTTGAAGTATTTACTCGGCCTCTTTACTCAAGTAAAAGTGAAAAAGTATGTGCTCCAAAAACTACTTAAAGTATAAAGTAACCTTTAAAAAAACAGCCAGATGCCACCATATGAATTGAAAGCTCAATTTTCCAACTGTTTTGAAATAGAAAGATACGCTCTCGCCTGTGTCCGACCTTTCAGACATTTCAACATCTTTTTCTGTATCCGACATTGTAGCATGGCATGGATAATTCACGTTTGCAGTTTGAAGAACACCTGCTTGCTTCTGATAATTTCCTTTAGTTAACCAATGAGTGTTTGCGTTATACGACTCATCCAATTCCACTAGTTTTCACTAGATGTGGATAACGCCAATGATCTGCATTGGATGGAGCACATGATGTGAAATAAATATTTATATACATTAAACCGAAGCCAAGAGTAACGAGTAACGTTTGTTTTAAAAATGTAAGGAATAGAAAGTACAGTTACTTGTGTGAAAATGTAATGAGTAGAAGTCAGATGTAGGAAGAATAATAAGTAATGGAGTAAAGTATAGATACTTGAAAAATGTACTTAAGTAAAGTAACGAAGTAATTGTACTTCGTTACTTGACACCTCTGATACTCGTGGCCGCCTGTGGAGCTGGTTTACATTTGCCTTTTGCATCTCTGCTTCTTTTTGTATCTCTGCTTCTGTCTCCTTGAACCCCAGTCAACCTCGGCAGATGGCCGCTCACAGTGAGCCTAGTTCTGCTGGAGGTTTCTTCCTGTTAAAAGGGAGTTTTTCCTCTCCACTGTCGCTACAAGCATGCTTAGTGTGAGGGATTGTATTCGAGTCAACGAGTCGACGCAATTAACTGGTTTTCCTTAGATAGAAAACTTTAAAATCAATTTGACTGTATGATCTGGTGAACTGTAAAGTGCCTTGAGATGACGTGTTGTGAATTGGCGCTGTAGGAATAAACTGAATTGAAAATTGAACTGAGGTGTGAATACTTTTGCAAGACACTGTATGTTCACAAAGACTCCAATGAAATAGAAGAACAAATGCATAATTTGTTATATAATTTAGGATTGAAACTTTTTTTGAGTATTAAGATGAATTTGAAAAAACTTTGAACATTATGCCTTACCTCCACCTGTCCAAACTTCCGAAGGAGTTTGTAAGGCCAGCTGTAGATGACTTCACTTGTGTTCACAGAGAGGAGCTCCAAAGCCTCACTGTCAGTGAACACAATATACTCCCCGGACAGCTTGCACCTCTTAGCCACCTCTGTGCTCTGGACCTTCACTTTGTACTGGTCAGGAGGAAGGGTTGGCTCTAAACACACAAGCAAACAACACAACACATAGAGATGTTCATGCACTGCTACTGAACAAATCCAAGAAACTTTTTCTAAGAGCTCTGAGCAGGAAACAAGTGCACACGTCGTACATTTTCATACAGTCTGATTTAAAATTACTCACACTCTGCTAATCTCCTTGTGGTTGGCCTGCCTGGGTGATTTGGGAATGTAATCCATTAGGAAATGAAAAGGAAATGCATTTTTCTAAGCCGGATCTTGCCAAAGCCAAAGTATTCTAGCTTTAATGTCTGAATAAATGAGCACACTTAGCTGCTTCTTAGGAATATTTAAAAATTCCGCCTATGCTTGCAGTTCATAGTGCTGTGAACAGCCTTCCTGTTGTTTTACATTCATACATAACATGTGAACAAATGAACTCTCACCAACAAGGTAATTATACAACAGGAAAAAGATACGGTGAAGGCTATGCTTTCCAGTAATCCCTAAAAAATATCTGCTTATTCTGTATATCTGAGAACATAGTTGCACGGAAGTTCAATATAAAAACATAGATGTTTATGATGACAGTCTATCAAAAATAAAGGGTAGCATAGAAATGTAGATGTTGAATGAATAAAATCCAGTTTCTAATATTGATTACGGTCTTGTTTTGACTTTGTGCATAGAAGCAGTTTGTGCAGCTCAGTGTGAAAGTGGTTTGAATCTGTTTATAGATGAAAGGTTTTGCGCTTTTTATTTTAGCTCCCCACACTGTCATGATTTATACAACTGAGAGAAAGGTACAGTGGAAAAAGATGTGCATATTAAGCTCCACCCCATGATTCAGGACCTTTGGCAACAATAACTTGAAATAGTTGTTTCCTGCGTGACGGTAGCAGTCACTCACATCATGAAGGAAGAATTTCAGTCAACACAACTTTACTTCAGTTCTTACTGGGGTTTCAATCTGATTATTTTCTTGTAAAACCCTGATTCTTTTCCTTTGTTTGCATGCTATCAGATTTGTTGCTCTGTTCTAGCTTTTCTGTCCTGTTTAGACTGAGCTTCTACAGTATTGTCAGACAGAAACTGCTTCATTTGGCTTTTGAGACCCATAAGAAATTGTGTTCCTGTGGCTGCAAAACAAGCACAGATCATCATAACAAAACCATCATGTTTCATTGTTGGTGTGAGATGTTAATGTTGATATTGCTTTTTGCTCCCTCTTAAAGATATAGTGGAGGATTTTTTCACATTTTTGCAATACACATGCGCAACCCTGTACCCGCTCTTGAGAGGGAAGGCCTATTAACTATGTGCGAGAGCATGCACAAGTCCATTTATCTTGGTCCACGCTCTGTTTAAAAGTCGCTGTTCACATCGCTCATACAAGCTTACTTTCCAAAACAAGGTTTGCATTTTTTTCCACTATGTCACACTCAACACCGGTAAGTGAAAATGGGGATGAGCACATAGGACGGCCTTACATAAACATATCACCAGAATGATTAACTAGATTAATTAGGAGGACTACTTATTCTGATGATCCACCTGCAAAAAGAACATCTTCCACTATAGATTTAACATAGCATTGAGTATTATTGCCAAACAAACCAACAATTATCTAATCTGCCCATAGAAAATCGGTCCAGACATTATTTAATTCAGCCAAATGCAAATTTAGCCTCGTGAGACCATCCTGATCTCACGAGCTTTCAAGATTTTACTCGCAGATCAGTCTGGCTACTTTCCGTGAAAGAAAATCTGGAGCAGTTCACCAAATGAACGTCCAATCAGCGTTGGCTTTGAGGCAGGTTGAGGTGTGACGCAACGAGAAGCGCGACAGTTCAGTCTAAAGAACATGGCGGCTTCAGCCTATGAAACTAGCGTTAGCGTGGCTATCAAGCACGTTTTATCGGAATGACAGAGTATTTCTTCACTGAAAGAAGAGCAAAACACTGTTCTGGAGGCTTTTCTCAGAGGAAAAGATGTTTTTGCTCTTCTCCCGACTGGTTTCGGCAAGAGTTTGATCTATCAATTGGCTTGTGCCTGGCTTGTGGTTGTGTTTTCGTCACCGCTCTGTTAGTACGTCATATGCTTTGTTGATCTGATTAGTTTATTTGGCTTAGACTTAGACAACATTTATTGTCATTTTTTATACACAGTGTATACAAAATATTATTTCATTTTGTACAGCTCTCATGACATTTCCATTTTCTTAAAGTGCAGCAGTGATCAAATGTAAACATTGTGGGAGAAAGAACATGATGCAAAAAAAAACACATTGATATGGATGTTTGATGCAGAGTCTGTGACATGATTTAGACTTAGAGTTTTGTGAGGCTCCAATTGTTTTAAGAGGAGGAGTTCTTGTACAATAATATGGTATATAATACTGCAATAACACTGAGGAATGCAAGCCCTGTTCTTTGGTTAAAATGAATATACAGTCTGTCTCATTGATGAACTGCATCAGGAGCTTCTTTCATGTTGCTGCTACTGTTGAGCCTTTTTTACATTGTGGTCACACGTAGCACAATAGCTGCTTTATTTATAGAGGGGGTCACCCCTGCTGATGAGCAAGTAAAGAAGCAGCCATGTTGTTTGTAAAAAAAAAAAAACTCATTGCCTTTTAGAATTGTTTTTTTTTTTTTGTCACTTAATGGCAGTGGAGGAACAAGTGTTTTTTTATGCATCTCAAGCTAAATTGAAATCTTTGTAGAAACTTGCTTTGATTTTTTTTTCTTGAGGCATTAAAAAAACAAGACCTTTTTGAACATCACTATCCTCCAAGAAGTTTCCTGTAAAAATGTCTCTTCAAAAGGCATTAACAGGTAAAAGGAAATATATTTTAGCCTCATTCATTCAGAGTAAAAATGAAAAAATCTCCTCTTTTCCCTTCTTAAATAGTACTTTTTATACAGCTTTTTGGGAAGTAGTTCCACAAAGGAGTGCTTCAACAGTTACCTGAAACAATGCAATACTGTGCTTGCTTTCCTGGATGAATGGTACAAATTATGAGAATCACCTCTTTGCCAAGATGAGTAAAGGTCATTGTCCTCCATGGTAAAGCCATTCCCTCCCTCAAAATCCCCTTTCTCGGAGTCTCCAGGATCCCTCTGCAAACAAAGTGCCACAGTAAACATTACACAGAGTAAACGCCTCCCTCTTATCAATGCTTTTTATTACATCACAAAAGTAAGATGGAAGCAAGAACATGGCTTGTGCAAGCACAAGAATTAGAGAAGTGGTAGAAGTTACAGATAATGTTTCAACTTCCCCATGTTCTTATCGGTATCAGCCTGTGGGGAAGGTGTCTAAACATTTTTCCCAAATTAAAACGCTGATGTGAAATAAAAGATGAGCAGCTGAAGAGGCCATAAGGAAAGGTGATACCTGGAAGGCAAGTGTGCTGAGGGCATGGATCCAGCTCTGGCTCTCCACAGAGGCGAAGGTGTAGGTGGACTGGGTGGTGTTCAGGTAGAAGGCTGTGCAGCGGGCAGGGCACGACTCCTTTAGAGCAGGGGTCACACTGAGACAGTCAGTTAAACGCACCACCTTTCTCTCTGATGTTTTCTGCCGACTGGCCTTCAGCTGGTCGCTGAAAGCGTTGCCATCAGAAGCTGAACAGAATTCCAGTCGACCCACGCCTGTGGAACTGGGTTTGAAAAGCACCATCCAGATTTTCCGCCAGGTTCTCTGATGAGACAAACAAAGCGGCTCTATTTAATGTCTTTGAAAATATCATTTGACCTCTAATATTTTTACAGGGTAAAATAAAAATGTAGTTGTCATTTAAACTCAAAATATAGCTTTAATTTGCATGTCAAGCCCCTGGTTCTTTTACTGCGGTGTTCACTGTAAGAAATTATTGGCGAACCCAAAGGGTGGCTGATTGGTCAAAGATGCATAGCAAAGGAACCAGAGCAAAATCAAAAGGACTAAACATCATTTGAGTGTCTTTATATCAATTTTTAATTAGAGCAATCAAATCTAAAGATCTAAACTAGATAATTTCATGCTTGTTCATCAATAACATGAACTTCAGTTGCATTTGTAAAACCGAAACACAAACTGAAAAACCTCAAGATTTTGTTGATGTTTAGTCATTGAGATGTGAATAATATGAAAGTAGATTCTTTCACCACCTCCCTACCAAGCGGCGTACCTGGATACAGTGCTAGCAAGCCTTTAAAAAGTCCATTCAACTGTTCCATGTTTTCAAGAAAGTGTTAAAGATCTGTGTATGCACCTTGACGCTCCATCTATCTATGAGAAGAGATCACTCGGGACAAACTCTTTAAATAACACTTCATAACTTATATGTATTAAATAACCATGAGACACTGTTAGGTGTATTCAATGATGATTCTAAAATTAATGTATGTACACATAAAACATTGAGAAATGAGATGCTTCACTCTGTCTTATGATTCAATCAGTGGAGCTCCTGTCTTATGACCTGATCAATTGTCCTGTCAGAAGAATACTGTTTTGTAACCCACCCTATGTGTTATGTTCTGTTAATAAAAGCGCTCTGCAGAGGAAGTACGGGAGAGAGAGTTAGAAAGTTCGGTTGCGGCTCTCTTCTCCTTCTGCAGAAGCTGTTGAAAATCCCTTTCTGTGTGGACTCTTTTACGAACCTACATTTTTTAACCTAACAGACATGACAACAGATTTTGATAGAAATTGTATTCTTGCTCAGATCAGAAGAGTTGCTTAGAATTTATAGATTGGCTGCTGCTCCCCTTCGGGCTCACCTTTCATAAAGTGGCCCTGAATAATAGTTAAAAGGCCTTTTATACATCTCCAGTCTGCCACATCATCCTATTTTACATCATACACGTTAGCAGATGAGTAGACATCAATGACTCCAGCCTTATTAAAATATTACAATTTGTTCTTAGTTGAAGGACACCGCTCTCATGCCATTCTCAAATATTTGCCTCTTACAGAATGAAGATTATAACTGTATATCTGGACAGAGGAACCGTCTTAACCAGATAAACCTATATGGAAAACATCAGTTCTGACTCGCAACAGGCAGCCGATACCAAGGTGTAATAAACTCACACATCATCAATGATAATTATACTAACAACAGTGATAAATTGTCACAAAAATTTTCCAGCTTTTATGAAAGATACAGAATTTGATACTCAAGCTGAAAAATAAAATAACTAGTGGGAGAGATAATAATAAAGTTCTTTAACACATCAAAAATGGACTAGATAAAGTGTCAACTAGTCAGCTGCAGTTGATTCAGAATGCTACTGCCTGCTTCCTCACTCTTTTTGCCTAAGGGTAAATTAATCTAGTGGTAATTGAAACCCTAAATATAGCCTGCACTTCATGTCTATAGTTCCCATTCTGTGGCCTTCGCTGTATACGAATTGATGTAACATCTTAAAAACAGACTTAATAATAAGTCTGTTACACAGCTGCAGCCGATGCAGAATCTTGCTGCCAGCGTCCTTACTGCAGCTAAGCAAGTTGAGCGCATCATCTTACACTGACTTCCTGCATCTCGGAAAAAAGACCTTAAAATATATCTGCTAGTTTCTATATATCTGAGGGCTTAGCATCAAAAATACATTCAAGGTCACTCAGCTTTTATCAGATATACTCTGTATGACCAGAACCAAACAAGGAGAAGAAACTTTTAGTTCCTATGCTCCACTAAAGTGGAACAAACTCCCAGAAGACTATAAAAGGGCAGAAGCTCTAAGTTATTTCAAATACCATAAAAATAAATGCATTTGTTTAAAGTGGACTATATGAACTGTCAAATGAAGCATACTTAGTCTGTTTTCCAACTTTAACTCGCTTGATTTATGCCACTGCAAAGTACTTTTCTCTGTTTTTCGTTAATGATTAAAAGCTTTAATTACTGTAATCTTGTTACTGAAATGTGCAATACAATAAACTTTTATTGGCTAATAGTTACGGTAAATCTGGTCACACAGGTGAACAAACTAAACTAAAACCGCTAAACTAAACTAAAACCACAAACTAAAACCGCTCCTCAATTTCTGCATTCAGGCCTCTTTAGTGGAGACAGTGGCGTCTGATGGAGTTTGCCCCGCACTTGAGGGTTGTCGGTTTAAGCTCCAGCTTTCAGCTGTGTACTGGGTCAAGACACATTTCAACAGCATTGCCTACTGATGGTGATCAGATGCTGGCGCCAGTGTACGGCAGCCTCGCTTCTGTCAGTGAGCCCCAGGGCAGCTGTGGCTGCAATGTAGTTTACCACCATCAGTGTGTTTGTGAATGGGTGAATGACTGAGGCCCCGTCCACACGAAGTCAAACCCTGGCCTAAATTCACAAATTTTTCACCAAACCACTCAGGCCCCGTCCACACGAAGTCAAAACGAACATGAAACGCTAATATTTTCCAGAACGTTTGTCTTAAAGACGGAGACGTAAAATAAATGTGATCGACCACATGAATGCATGAAAACGCTGCAAAATGTATGCCAGGCCTGTAAGTGGCGCTGTGGTGCCAAAGCAAAAATAGGCGAAAACAGGCAATGAAATGTTGGGCATGCGCAGTAATATTTATACAACAACCAAACCGGAAAACCCCTAGAAGAAGAGCCAAATCGATATTGCTCTGTTCTTCCTGGAGATATTCCAGAAGAAGAAGATTCTGTTGTAAGCCCGACAGCAGGGTGAGTAGCATGAGCAGCAACCATTCAACACAGTACGGCGCCATTGTTGTTGTGATACTGTGTCGCGCATGCGTGTTTAGAGGCGACGCTATGACGCATAACGACGTGTAAGAAAAAAAATGCGGTCAGAGCTTAAAGATGGAACGCGAAAATGGTGTTTCAAAATCTTCCCACTCTGAAGGCTTAATAAAAAAAAGATCGTTTTCAGACCCCCGAAACGCCGGCTTCGTAAAGCGCCTCGATTATGTTCTCTGGCTTGAAAAACGCTCTATGTTAGTTTTGGGCTATTTAGTAAGAATGTTTTTTTGACTTGTTGACTCTCTCTTTCAGACTGGGAAGACATCTCTTGTGCTCATCCCTCTGACTGCTTGTTGTCTTGTAGGCTCGGACTCACTGTGATGCTTGAAATGCATCTCTATGAAATATCTGAAGGTTTAGAGTCTAAGCTGATTTGTGTTTATGATTTAATTCACTTAGAAAAACACCAATGTTCCATTGGAAGAGAATTAGAATCAGATCATGATGCTGCCATCGTTTATCAGGAAAAGATACATTGAAGTAGTGTGATCCAAACATTACTATTTGGATTCTTCAGATCGTAACACATTGTCCTATTTGGTTAATGAGGATTTTACCAGTGCCTGGTTATTTTCCTGCTTAGGTCTTTGTTGGGTTCAAAAATGTAGGTTTGTAAAAGAGAAACTGAGTCCACACAGGAAAGAGATTCAAACAACTCCTGCAGGAGTGGAAAAAGCCCAACCCAACTTCCAGCTCTTTCTTCAACCCCCCTCCTGCAGTCACCTTTTATTAACAGAACATAACACATGGTTACAAAAGAGAGTATTGTTCTGACAGGACAGTTGATCAGGTCATAAGACAGGATGCTCCACTGACTGAATCATAAGACAGAGTGAAGCATATCCTTGCTTCAATGTTTATAAGCACACACACATTAATTTTATAATCATTATTGAATAAACCTAACAGTCTTCCAATAATTCTTCTTCATTGTATATTCTTACTCATAGCCCATTACAAGGAAGTCATTTTGATTCTCTGTAGCATCTCTTTAAGGCACTACTGAAAGCAAATGTTCTAAAGGACAAAATGCCAGGAAAAGAAATTACATAATATCAGAGTTTCTTTTCTGAAACTGAAAATTTGCTAGAATTGTGAAGACTAAATGCTAAAAATAAATCTGACGAAGCGTGGGTGTAAGGTTGTGACACTCCTTAGTATGTTGGGGTTTTTCAGTTGTACTGTAGAGTCAGATTTTTCAATAACGGTGACAAATATAAGATAAAAAAAATTGCAACAGACTTATTAAGAAAAACTTAAACAGGGACATTTTGGGCTAATACGTTTTATGTTTAATACCTGCATCAAGGTTATTTTACAATGTATTTTTAAACATGTAAATACCTTGTACAAGCAAGCCTCATTGTAAAGCACATCCTAGTAAAAAGTAATGTGAACTTCATGTCTTTCGTGTCTTTAAACATAAAAGATTATTTCTGCAGTCCAGAATACCTGGAATTTCAACTCACCAACAATAGTTAAAACTGTGCATCATCCTTAACATAGTTTAACATGTTACTGGCAGCATAATGCTGTGGGGAATGAGTAGCTGGTCAAAATTAAGTGAAAGATAAATGAAGCTAAACTACAAAACGAATGAACAATAATTGAACTTCTCCTTATATTGTTGGGGTTTTTCTAAATTAAATTTCACACTGGAGTCAGTGTGGGAATGGTTTGTACTATACCTACAGGAACGATGAGTAGTTTTAAAAGGTAAAAGTCACGTTTCTATTCCGATACTTCTTGTGAAGGTGCATTCACAGTGCTGAAGTGAAAAATAAGTCAAAGGCTTACAAAAAACTCATAGTTCCTGTTTATCGGGGGAGAAAGCCAGAAGAGAGAACTTCATTTCCCTTTTCTCCACCTCCTACTGACAAACCTTAGACCTCAGGTCTAGAAGCTGAGAATAATTTTAGGGAACCAAGTTTTAAATATCTACAGCTCCTCATTGTCTTCCACTCTGTTTTCTCTTAAATACGACAAGTATTATTTGAGCTACTGTGGTTTTATGTTCGATATGTTTTAAGATTAGGTCCCTAATGATGGCTGGGGTCATGCACAGGTGAGATAGTTTAACTATTATCATCAGTCTTTAAAAGTACAAAATATGAGCACCGGATAACCCAAATATAAACCTGGTAAAGATAGCCAAAAACGTTCGTCTATACAAATAATACCTGATAAAACCAAGATAATCAGCCTCTTTGAAAAAATCTAAGTTGCGTCTAACTCTGTAATAGGTTGGTTTAAATAGTTCTGAGTCTTTCTTTTTGTTTGTTTGAAACCAACACTATGGAAACTACATCCTTTGCTTTTCAGAGCTTAGGCCTTTACATAGTAATGTTATCTTTTACCCACTTCCAAATATAAACAACAAGTGCTAATTATTCAGAGCTATCCTTTTTTTAAAGCAAACAGCAGATCTGAGCAAACCCACATTTAAATCCTAGTAAGATTAAAATGTACTTGTCTTGTGGTTAAAAGGGTAAATTCCTCATGTACTCATTTTTCTTTTTTTTTTCATCAGCTAAGAATAGTTTATTTAAAGTTGAGATGGGGCTCTAAAATATACCAGCATGATCAGAGCAGTTTTACTGGTAGTAAGTCAGACTTGCTGGCATAAAAAGTTAAGAATCTAAAAGGAAACCTCTGATTTAGCCTGAGTACACATGCAGACCAGAGATGGTTATGTAAATGATTTGAAAAGAGATGGCTTGAAAAGAGGGCTGCACGGTGCCGCAGTTTGTAGCACTGTTCCTTGCAGCATCAATGACCCTGACCGGCTGTGACCCTGACGGAATAAGCGGGATTGCATGAAAATAATGTATGGAAAAAAAGTAATTTTCTCAACAAGCAGCAGATGCTGCTTTCAGCCCACAGCACTCACAGGCGGCCCTGTCCTCACCTATGAGTGGTGGGAGGATTCCTTAGAATCAGCTGGTGAGAAAAAAAAACTGATGACAAGGTAGTGTTGGTAGTTTTTCTACATGAGTGGCAAAGAGTTTCCTTCCTGGACAAATTTTGGGTCAACCAGTAAGAATGATTGAAGCGGTTTACAAAATAAATGTGCAATATTAGAATAAGAACCTCCAGCACAGATGTTATTCACACTGCTATGGTTAAAATGTTCTTCTGATCCGACTAGCTATGGGTGTGTAATGTTAAAGAAACAAAGGTTAAAACAAAGTAAAGCTATCCCAAACAGTGTCTATATTATCAGTTAACCAGACTCGGTTATTGGATTCCTGCTTTATGCCTCAGGAACTACTACCATCCATTTCTCTGGTCCATGACAGTCTGGGTGATGCTACATGCTAATGCAAAGTCTAGTGTGTTAAATTCCCATTGTACGGTATGTTGAAAGTATGGGGCTAATTCAACATTTGTTAAGTTGAGCTTTAGGAGAGTTAGCTCATCCAAAGAGGTGCTGTTAACCAGCAGAGTTAAATTCTAGCCAATCTGTTAAGTGCTGATTTAAAAATATATAATTATCAGTGTTTTCCCTAATAATAAACTTTAAACTCTTATCAGTTCTACACATATCAATCTGGCTACTGCCAGGTTTGTTTACAACAGCCTTACTTCTGTCAGCGCACCCAAAGGTAGCTGTGGTTACAATATATCAGGCAGCATGGGAATAATTAACACTGTTATGTTGATGATATGCAGCTATATTTGTCCAAAAACACTAGTGTGCAGTATTAACTTTTGAAGCTTTATGCACGAGTTAGATAAATTCAACCCTGTTAAAAGTTGAATTGCAACATTATAAGTGTTGATTCTAGTCTCTCAAAGTGTTAACTGTTTAACACTTTCAGAGGTGTTTTAATTAGCTAACACCAGTAAAAAGCAATATAGACACTTTAAAAGTGTTGAATTATCTCCCTAGACGTTGAATTGACCATTCAGAAACTGGATTTGCTAGTAAATCTTATCCAAATGTTTAAAATATGAAACATGTGGTTCAGGTATCCTGATAATTATACATCGCTTTTTTGTTCATCGAGATTGCTTAGCTCCTCATATCTCATAATTTTATTTTATATATACATATATATGTATATATACGTGTATATATATATATATATATATATATATATATATATATACATACATATATATGTATATATACGTGTATATATATATATATATATACGTGTATATATATATATATATATATGTATATACGTATATATATATATATGTATTTATATATACTTTTATATATATATACATATACACACTTTGGTCATTTTTATAATATCTATAATATATATATATATATACACACTTTGGTCATTTTTATAATATCTATAATATATATATATATAAATGTATATATATATATACATATATATACGTATATATGTATATACATATTTATATATACGTATATATACATATATACGTATATATATGTATATATATATATATATATATATATACATATATATATGTATATATATATATATATATATACATATATATATATGTATATATATATATATATATATACATATATATATATGTATATATATATATATATATATATATATATATATATATATACATATATATACATATATATACATATATATACATATATATACATATATATATATATATATATATATATATATACATATATATATATGTATATATATATGTATATATATATATATATATATATATATATATATATATATATATATATATATATATATATACATATATATACATATATATATATATTTACACACTTTGGTTATTTTTATTAAAGTTTTGCAGAATAAGCATTATAGAAGTACTGGAGCAAGCGGTGCATATGCAAAAATTACACTTTATGCAGATGACACTTTATTTTTCATAACTATGATAGAAGTTAATCTTTCAATTCTTGCCTGAGGGTATAACACTTTCTTATGCCACACAAGGAGGGTTTTCATGTTTAGTCAACTCGTTTCCAATCTTTGTTTGCAGTGAATACCTTGAGAGAAATAAAATAAGTGCTGCCAAAGCCTAGCAAGACTTATTGATGATATTGTTAAAAATGTATTTATTTGAAAACATGACATCCTGCAACTATTTCTATATTTGTTTTCATGTGGTTAGAGTCAAAACAATCTAAGCACATGTTGCATGGCCCTCACACCATGCACCGCATTTTAGAAATCTTTTTCTTCCTGCTGGTTTAGCAGTTAGCGGCATCGCAGCGTAAAAGCCACAAACCTGAAGGAGCCTGAAACAAAACTTTCCACTTTGAAAGGTGTCGGTTTTTATAGTAACGTAATGTGTTTAATTCATGAAAATATGGTGTAAAGAAAGAGTTTTATTCGAACATAATGTAACTATTTTCCTCTGAACAGAATGATGACAATACATGGTAAAAGCTGTAGCAGTTTTGCAGCAACTAAATCCATTCTCCATCTTTTAAAAAGGACCTCTCTCTTCAAAAGGTTCAACTTTTTTATCAGTTGAAAAGAATATTTTCCAAAAGTCTTGCGGGTCACCAAGACTTTTTTGTTTCTAGTAAATATAAAATGAGTCTTTGTGTTCACCAGCAGGTTTTTCCAGTAGAACTCTCCCATGGATGCTGTTTTTACCCAATTTCTCTTTCTTATTAGCAAAAGATGAAAACTAAGGCAAGTGATATCCATATTGCTTTAGATCAGGTTTCCTAAATGCTGTCCCTTGGGGTTCATTGTCCCACAACTTTTTAGACGTGGTTCTGCTTCATCACACCTGAGTCAAATATTCAGGCCATTAGTAGGACTCTGGAGAACCGACTGCATTCCAAGGAGATATTTTAGACATTTGATGCAAGAGTGTTAAAGCAGACTCATCTTAAGGCTGAAGTACACTGGATCTTGAGGATTGGAACTGAAGTCATCTACTTTAGATGGTTTGGGTCCTTTTACGACCTCCTGGATGAATCAAGTATGTGGTCTTGGATTGCTGGTTTAGATTTTATAGTAAATGTCTGGCAACATGAAGTAGGCTGAAAAACAACTGATGAGACAAAACCTTCGATATCTTTCAGTCTGGGAAGGGTTTATTGTTTTTACCACATAAAGTCAGACTGTTTTGGATATTTTCCCCCCTTAAATGTAAACAACAAAATGTTTTTATTAACTTAAATATTTGATATCAGAGAAAGTTTAAAATTTTCCTTTTTTAATCTGCAAAAAGGGGCGGGGACATTTCACACTATTGTGTAAACATGCATATATACCGTATATATATATATATTAAATATATATATATATATATATATATATATATATATATATATAGACATATTTGGGTTTTGAAATATTAATTTACCCAACTGTGAAAAAAACATTTTAATACGGTTGCTAGAATAATATTTTAACAAATGTGCGCTGTAAATTGGAATGCAAATTTCTGCAGCAGTAGGAAATAAAAGCAGAATTTCATCAGACATGCTGCAGCCTTGAAATCCACCTTTTCTTTATATATATCCAGTCTTCCAATGCAGTCCAAAGATAGGATCAAGAATGCTATATAATAATACACGTCATTCAGCTTGAGTTTTTATATCAACTCATTATTCTTGCAGGTGTATTAAGAGCATGATGGGAACATTTAGCCGCTTTGTACGGATAATGGATGGAATCAAGCTTATAAATTTTAACTGAGTTTTTCCAGAGTTGGTGTAAATACATTTATACATGAGGGACAATTGATTTTATAGTTGTATAGACAATAGTTTTTTTTAATAACCTTAAGGTGGAATGTAAGATATTTGGAAATAAGCGCCTTAAAGTGTAAAATGCAGCTAAAGACGTAATAAATTCTACCCTTTAGAAATTATAACTGCTGAAATTTAGCCAAATGCTCAAAAGTAAGCAGATTATTTCTTTAAGATGATAAATGATATAACTCACTTTTCCAAACTTGGCCCCCTGAAGATACAGCATCCCCTCTTTGAAGATGACCTCCATACTCGTACGCTGTCTGAAAACTGTTCACACAAGAGCAGATGTGGCGAAAATATGCCGAACTAAAACTGGTGAGGTGGTTTAAAATTAGACCTCCTATACCGCATGCCTGATAGTTTCCTTGACGTCACAAACTGTCGACCAGTGTGCTTGACAGGAGTTTAAAAAAAGAAAAACAAAATAAAAAAACCCAAAAATCAAGATGCAACTGTTACAAAAGAAAGGACACACGTTGTGTGTTGCTGTTTTCTTGAGTCAAACTTCCTTTTGTATCATTTTGCAACCACGTCAACTTCCTTTTAGAAAAAACTAAAGTGACTTTTTATTTCTCCAATTTTCTACATGACACAAAAACAAAATATCAAATTAAAGGGTTTTATTTACAGTTCTGACGTTCCTCGGTGTGTTTTACTAATATGATAATGAGTAACGAAGAGAAAAGGGTACAAAGAAGGAATCCTTTTTTGTCCAACAGATCTGTACAAAATGATAAAATAAACTTCCCCAACTCAGTGACATTACATGTAACCAAGGCGTTTCCACAGAATTATTTTAACCCCAATCAGAACAACTTGTATTCTGGTGAAAAATGCATTTAAAAGTCCATGGAGCTATGAGCCAGGTAGTCTTTGCGACCGATGTTGGTGACCTGCTTGGTCTGCATGGCCTCCAGCTTGGGACAGTCGGTAATACGATGGCCGAGACCGCCGCAGAACGTGCAGCCCCTCTCACCTGGGAAGACGGAAGAACAGACACATTACAAACAGGCCTGGTGGTACAGCACAGTGGAACGATGTTAGTGCAATGCTGCAACAAAGACTCTTACCTCCGATGTCCAGCATGGTTTCATCGCCCGTCTGGAGCACCTGGAGGACCGGAGGAACCTTCTGCTTGGCTTCAACCAGCAGAGCTTTCAGATCCATTAACACAGACTCATCTGTTAGGAGATAAAAGATGTTTCCCTTTATGTCCAATCTTATCTGACTACAATAAAATAGCCTAACTTCTGTCAGTGATTCCAAGTTTCTCTTTAAATTATTTGCAAAAACAGAAACTACCTCAATTCCTTCTGAGATGGATCACAAAAAAAAAAAAAAAAAAAAAAAAAAAAAAAAAAACAGATCTTCACCAGATTCCAAAACTCTTACATAGCTGAATATATAAATTTTACGTTAATAAGAAGGAAGGTCATAGCCGAATAAGCCAGTTGATACTTTGCAAGTCACCAAACTAAGTGTAATTTCTAAAACCGCTGATGCTAAACAGGTTTACTTTGCTTCCCAGCACTGAGCCTTTCATAGCAAACTGTGAACAGAAAATAGATAGTTGGGGTTTCAATAATAGTGGATTTATTTTTTCATTTTTGGTCTATTTCACTTCCTGGTCTATTTCAGGACAGCAGTTCTGCTGTCCTGAAATAAACCAGTGTGCAGCTTTTTCCTCAGCTCTTAAAATTCTATCTTGCTAAAGTATTAGCACCTCTTAAAAGTATTCATATTACAGTGGAGAGAAAAATTATATAGATTTCAAAATTTTTTTAACCCTATAATGCCAAATGTATCATATTTGATAGGGACCCTGTTTAGGTTTTACTATCCCTGTTTTGATACGTAACAGAAGGAGAAATGTAGCTCTGTCAGAACACAGAGAGCTCCACTCTATAAGGTTTTTATCAAAAGTAAACATACAGCCTGTTCCAAAACATGATGATAATTTGAGAATGCTTAAGTTAGCTTTACTAAATGTTCGATCTTTAGCAGGAAAATAATTTCTAATCAATGATTTTATCCCCGAACATAGCCTTGACTTTGTTTTTAACTGAGACCTGGTTACATGAAAACTGTCATTCGGCTCTTATTGAGGCCACGCCCCCTAACTTCAGTTTCATCAGTGAAGCCAGAGTGAACAGGAGAGGTGGGGGGGTTGCCGTCTTATTTAGGGACTCACTCCAGTGTAAACAGTTATATCTTGGGGATTTCCCTTCTTTTGAATACGTGGGTTTACAGCTGACGGCCTCATCCAGAGTCATGTTTTTAAATATTTATCGGCCGCCCAAATACTGTGCAGATTTTAATGATGATTTTACTGAACTGTTGTATGTGATCTGTGCGGACTTTGACCATCTTGTTATCACTGGTGGTTTTAACATCCATTATGACTGTCATCAGGAGAAAGGGACTAAAGACCTGATTAACACTCTGGACAACTTCGGGTTGACCCAGCATGTCACAGAGCCCACACACAATAGAGGACATACCTTAGATCTACTGATCTCGAAGGGTCTGGACATTTCTAAGGTCACGGTGTGTGATGTGGGGCTGTCGGATCACTGCTGTGTTTTCTTTGAGAGTACCATCTCAGTGCACACAAATGTCTCAAAGAAGGTGATAACAAAACGGTGTATAACTGAAAATACCAGTGAGATTTTTAACCAGGTCCTCTCTCTAACACCTGCCCTGTCAGGGGCTTCAGTCAATGAGCTGGTCACTAACTTTAATGCTAACATGCTGAGTGTCATGGATTCTATTGCTCCTATTAAGGTGAAAGTTATCTCTGGAAGGAAACGGTCTCCATGGAGAAATTCCACACTGGTGAAAACTGGAAAGAGGGAGTGTCAAAAAGCTGAGCGCAGATGGAGAAAAACAAAACTACAGGTTCATTATGACATCTATAAAGAGAAACTTCACTTTTATAATTTACAGCTGAGGAATGCAAGGAATTGGTATTTTTCTGACATCATCACTAAAAACGGTCATAATGCTCGGGCCTTATTTGCTACAGTCGACAGGCTAACAAACCCTCCTGTGTCAGTAGCACCTGAATTTTATTCCACCAAAGCCTGCAGTGACTTTGCCAAATTTTTCACAGACAAAATCCAAATTATTAGACAAGCTGTTGGTTCAACAACAGCAGGTTCAGGTCTTGTATCGTGTCCACCAAGTCTAAACATCATGACACAGTTTTATCCCATTACTAGCAAAGAACTGGAGAACATCTTGCATCAATTGAACTCCTCCTCTTGCTGTTTGGACATCCTGCCCACTGGTTTTTTTAAAAAGGTCTCAAAGACCTTGGAGTCAGATCTGCTTCAGATTGTGAACTGCTCTCTAACGTCAGGTGTTTTCCCAGAGTCACTGAAAACAGCTGTGATCAAACCTCTGCTAAAAAAGGATAATCTAGACAAGACACAGATGAGGAGCTTACAGGCCGATCTCTAATCTTCCATTTTTAAGTAAGATCATTGAAAAAGCAGCCTCTCACCAGCTAAATGACTTTTTAAGAGAAAACAACCGTCATGATGTCTTCCAATCAGGTTTTAGACAGCACCACAGCACCGAGACTGCTCTGACCAAAGTCACGAATGACATATGTCTGAATACTGACACTGGTAAAATGTCAGTGTTGGTTTTACTGGATCTCAGCGCCGCATTTGATACAGTTGACCACATTGTATTACTCCAACGACTGGAGAAGTGGGTGGGCCTCTCTAGTTCTGTACTAAACTGGTTCAAAACATACTTGGAGAACAGGAATTACTTTGTGTCAGTAGGCAATTTTACATCTGAGCAGACAAAAATGACCTGTGGAGTTCCCCAGGGCTCTATCCTGGGGCCTCTTCTGTTTAACATCTATATGCTCCCACTGGCTCAGGTTATAAAGAACAACAATATTAGTTACCATAGCTACGCAGATGACACACAGCTATATATTACAGTATCACCAGGAGACCGGGGCCCTGTACAGGCTCTTGGTAAATGTATTGATGAGATTAATGACTGGGTGTGCCTCAACTTTCTTCAGTTGAACAAAAACAAAACTGAGGTGATTGTTTTTGGAGCTAAAGAGAAACGACAGCAGGTTGTTGCAGAACTTCAGTCCATACACCTAAAAACCACCAATCAGGCCAGAAATCTGGGTGTAGTGATGGACTCAGACTTAAACTTTGAAAAACACATCAAAGCGATCACTAAATCAGCCTACTATCACCTGAAGAACATCTCAAGCATAAAAGATCTGATGTCTCAGGAAAATCTGGAAAAACTAGTCCATGCATTCATCTTCAGTCGGCTTGACTACTGTAACAGCGTCTTTACTGGTCGACCTAAAAAATCAGTTAAACAGCTGCAGCTCATTCAGAACTCTGCTGCCCGAGTTCTCACAAAGACCAGAAAAGTGGACCACATTAGTCCAATTCTCAGGTCTTTACACTGGCTGCCGGTCCATCAGAGAATAGACTTTAAACTTCTGTTGCTGGTCTATAAAGCTCTGCATGGTTTAGGCCCAAAATACATCAGTGACCTCTTGACCCAGTATGAACCTACTAGACCCCTCAGGTCATCCGGATCCGGCCTTTTATCAGTTCGCAGACTCAGAACCAGACATGGAGAGGCTGCGTTCAGCTTCTATGCTCCACATGTCTGGAACAAACTCCCAGAAAGTCTCAGATCAGGTGAAACACTTAGTTTATTTAAATCCAGGCTGAAGACTCACCTGTTCTCAGCTGCATTTACGTAGATTCTATTCAAAAGTTAAAATCCGCACGTCTCTGTATTCTCTCTTTTTAATCTTAAACTTTTTTAATTTTGAATCACGCTTTTAATTGTTTTTAATTGTTTTCTTTCCCTTTTGCTTATAATGTTTTATGTAAAGCACTTTGAATTGTTCTGTATATGAAATGTGCTATACAAATAAACTTGCCTAAACATACGGTTTCTGAAATGTTTTGCGTCTGACACCTTTTGCATAATTTAATGGTAAAAACTTTGCTCAGAGGGCAGAAGACTACACAAAAAATAATCTTGACTTATCGCATAATAATAAATTATTAATATCAAAAATGTATTTCTGTTTTTTCTTTTTACATATTATGTTAAAAGGCCAAATAAGGACTTCAAACCCCCAAAAAAGTTATTTTCTCTTTTGTTTTATTCTTGGATGGGGCTTTAAAGGGTTAATATTAAAAAAACTTAAGATCAGATACCCCTAAATAATATTCAGAGAAACCTATTTTATTCAGCCGACATTAAATACATTCCAACCGTGTTTTCATTTCTCCCAGTTTTAAAAGATTAGATTAAAATCTGCTGATGACAAAAACAGAAACATTATTTCAATAATTATTATTACAATAATTCAATATTAATACACATCGCAATATAGTTGTATCAAATATCAGTGATTTAACACTTAAACACATTTTCTGTGTTTCGAAAGATGTTTGCTTGGTGAATGGTAAAGGGTCTGTACTTATATGGCATTTTTTTTAAGTCAGGAGACTTGATTACAGCGTTTGTAAAACATTGCCATTGTAAAACATTGTAAAACAAAACAAGCCAACCTCCTGTCTGCGGCACTGTTTGCGGTCAGCTATAATTTGGGAGAGGTGCAGCGAAGCGTCTGTGGAGGGGGCAGGATGTCGACACTCTGGAGCAGAGGTATTGCATTGCACTCATTGCACTGATTTTGTGCAGTATTTTTTGATGCAAGGCCTTTCAGAATCTATAACGCACGGGTATTATTATTTTTCAGCGAATGAGGTTTTCATAGGCCTTGATGGAGTACAACTTTTCTACTTCTGTTATTTGCTGTTGTTTCTCAAAAAAATGCAAAACGATATTAAAGCTTTCATTGATTTATTTCAAAATTGAAACATTGTCTAGCCTGTAAGGTGTAAAAAAAAAAAAAAAAAAAAAAAGAACAAATTAATCGAATCGTGGTGTATTCTTGAGTTTAAAAAATAATCATATCGTTGGGTCACGAAATCGATACTGAATCAAATCGCCATGATGGGTGTGATTTACACCCCTAATAATAATAAGATTTAAAGGAATAGTACACCCAAAACATGATTAGCCTTCATTTTCTACTCACCTCCATGCTGAACAACACTCTGGAGTACTTTTTTGATATCTCAAATGCATCTGGAGATCTGGGAGGCTTCTTGCTGTCTGCTGACATTCAAATAATGGAGGTCTATGGTGACCGAGACAGAAAGGTCCATAAAAGTCCACAAAAACGTGTCAATATTCCTCCATACTGCTCATCCAATGTATTCCAAGTGTCCTGAGTGGGTAGCATCCATAATTTACTCGAAACGAAGTCATTTAGAATGTTTTTAGAGCATAAACAGTAGTGTATAGGATTTCCTGAAAGCGCACACATGCGCGTTCACGAGCCTACGGAAGCCGGCAGACCAAACCAGCGCATTCAGCTCGGCAAAGAACTCATGCTCTTCCTCAACACTGAAGTCCTCAGACATTTTTCTTTCGTTGTTTCTTTCTTTGCACAGGTAAACAGCACATTTCTTCTGCTACGCTTGCATTATCGGCAGAGCAGACGCGAATGCGCACTTTCATCTGGTTTAGTCTGCCGGCTTCCGTAGCGTCATGAACGTGCCAGCGCGCGCTTTCAGGAAATCCTATACACTACTGTTAATGCTCTAAAAACATTCTAAATGACTTCGTTTCGAGTAAATTCTGGATGCTATCCACTCAGGACACTTGGAATACATTGGACGAGCAGTATGGAGGAATATTGACACGTTTTTTGTGGACTTTTATGGACCTTTCTGCCTCGGGCGCCATAGACCTCCATTATTTGAATGTCAGCAGACAGTAAGAAGCCTCCCAGATCTCCAGATGCATTTGAGATATCAAAAAAGTACTCCAGAGTGTTGTTCAGCATGGGGGTGAGTAGAAAATGAAGGCTAATCATGTTTTGGGTGTACTATTCCTTTAAGCATCTGATGAATGAAGTGTAAGTAGAAGAGTTGAGCATGATGACAGCCTTTAAATGAAAGAGCAGAGTGGGAGCTTCTTAATATTACAGGATGTATGAATTGATTACTTTGATTACCCATTGGGATTTATTTTTTTCATTTAAAAGTACTGAGCTAGCTAATCATTGTAAAGGTTTGGTTCACTCTAGGGAGAGTTAATGGTGTTGTCAACGTTCGCTGTGCCAAGGTAAAAAATAAATAAATAAAATAGGACTGGAATCAGTTTTGTTTTGCTGTAAAATTCAAAATAAAGCAAACATTTATCAGCAAACAGAACAGCATTGATAAAGACTAGAGTGGGGAGTTGGGGGTGTGTAGCATGAGAGACAGAAAGGAGGAGGGAAATCTTAACAGGATGATTTAAAAAGGTTAAAGTTTTATCAAAAGCTTGATGTCTCAGAATTGACAGAGGACGTTTAGTTTGTATTTCCAGAGCTAGATATAAATTGTTTGGCTAATTTATTTAAGGGATGTTTCCATAAAAGCTTTCAGGTTGAGGCGTGTTTGGGCTCTTGAACAAATTAAAGTTTTCTTTAATGTAAAAATAAAGGGGAAATTCAGAGAGAAATCATAAAAGAGACAAGATCCCTTGGCGTGAGAGATGAACGCCTCATTTGTTGATAAAAATCTATTCAGCTTTTAGCTTCAAATGAAAATAGAGGTTTTTTTTTTTTTTTTACTGCAATTATTTTATTGGTAGTGTTTCAAAGATGAGCCAAAAATAATTTTTACAGGTTTGCACAGCTAACTGCTGGCTACTTTCTAAGGCTTTCATGCTGTTCATATAGATGAGAACTATATGGTATCACTGAGAAATACATCGCAATGCAGGTTTCAGCCGTTTGGTTCGTCGCCTCTGTGCCTATTCTTTCTGTAGCAGGTATCAGGGATGATATGATGAAAGAAAAAGGCTAAATATAGGTGATCCTGAAAGAAAACCTGCTAGAGGCTGAAAAACACTGAAGACTTGCACAAATGTTCAAAATCCTGCAGGACAATGACAGTGGAAAAATAAAAGTTCAGAACATAACGACCCAGCCGAAGTCCAGACCATAACCTGAATAAAAAAAAACATCTCAAGAGGGATTTGAAAATGGATGCTTATCAAATCTGACAGGATTGGAGCTACTTTTCAAAGAACAATAAGTAAAAGTCTGTAAAGCAGATCAAGACATAACCATTTTATAGAACCACCTTTCACTGCAGCCATAGATGCAGATTTTTGGGGGTTATCAGCCAAAAAGTCCAAAAGCATTAAAGCTATAGAGGACAATCTTTCATTTCTAGGTGAATCTTCTCAATAAGTGGCTCTCCTAATTGTCAATCATTCTAGGGATATGTTTACGTAAGGCCTTCCTACGTGCTCATCCCGTTAGCTATCTTTTTCTGTGCATGTGCACTGTGGTGAGCTACGTTTTCACACAGTCATTGAAGCTAACCTTTCTCACAAAGGTTTTTTGAAAATGGCCAAGGTTTGTGAGAGTAAAAGTCTACGAAGTGTATGTGAAGAAAAGAAAGGCCTCAAAAGAGGCAAATATACCCTGGAAAGCTTTGTGCGGAGAGCTCTCCTTGCAAGGCATTATGGGATATGCTCTCACAGGGCCTCGCTGTCGCCAGGCGAATGTGCGGACACAGTAAGCCTGTATGAGCTATGAGAACAGCAACTTTTAAACAGAGCGTGCACGAGGAGAAATGGGCTCGTGCACGCTCTCGCATGCGCATTTTTCTTAAAGTGGAGAGGTCGGGTCTTTCAAAAAATTCTACAAAATCCAGCACAATGCCATTAAAGTTTGTGACAGTTACCTGCTAAAATGAAAGGGGCGGTTTAATTTTGCAAAGAACTTCACTTTGCCTGATCCCAGACAACTTATTAGCTAAATTTTTCTTTCCTAATGTAAAGACATGAGGAAGAAACTCCAGTTTTTGTAAATTCTGCACCACAAAAGTAAAAGACGCAAAAAATTCTGGGTAATTCTTGGTTGGATTCACAGAAAGGATTGGCAGATAAGGGGATGAGGATTTTCAGAAAGTATAAAATAATTAAGTGTGTAAATATCATCAGATCAGTTCTTGTTTTAAGCACTGTCCTCTTACCACAGCCCTTATTGATAAACGTCGTAGCGATACCAGTCTTCCCTGATCGTCCAGTTCTTCCTATTCTGTGGACTGAAAACAAAAACATTTTGATGAAGTTTTCCAGACTCCACAATCTAATGTCACATAGAAAACAACGTCAGAAATATTTATCAACTAATTTCCTTTCACCATAGTTTTCTATCTCCTCTGGCATGTCATAGTTCACAACATGCTGAATGGCTGGAAAGTCCAGACCCTTGGAGGCAACATCTGTGGCGACCAGGACGTCTTTCTTTCCTTCTTTAAATGCTTCTATGGCTTTAGTTCTTTCTTCCTGATCTGAAAAAAGAAAAATAAACTAATTAAACCTCATTTTAACACCTGTTTTTAAAAGGACTCCTCCATAAAACAATTGCAAGCAGGGAGACCTCTGCTGGCGATAATGAGGAAGTACAAGATTTTAAAATATTATTTAGTTAAACATCCCTTCTAAAACCGCTGTTTTAGAAGCTTTGCATACCTTTTCCTCCATGAATGGCCACCGCTTCCACTCCCTTTAGTAACAAATATTCATGGATGGCATCTACGTCTGCCTTTTTCTCAGCAAATATCAACACCTGCCAAAATAAACAGTAATCATCAAAATATTCACTTTTTTCTCCTGGACTCATAATAATAATTATTAGGTCTTTACAGGAGGCGGTGTTTTCTGAAGACACTCCAGCAGGTACACCATCTTGGCCTCTTCTTTTACATACTCTACTTCCTGCATTCAAATTAGAAACAAAGGGATGCAGTGAAAAACAAAGATTAACCTGAATTAAAATCAAGGGTTCTCATTGACAGAAACACATACCTGGATAACGTCCAAGCTGGCAGCTCCGGCTCGGCCCACATTAATGGTGATTGGTTTGACCAGAGCGCTCTTGGCAAAGTTCTGGATCTTCTTGGGCATGGTAGCACTGAAAAGTAGGGTCTGCCTTTGTCCCTAGACCAGAGGGACACATCAGAAGGGCTGTTTTTAATTTACAAGCATCAACAGATGAAGTGCAGCAGCTGGAACAAACACAACATGGCCAATTCTTGCTCCTTCTAAGGGCTTAAGGACTGTGGGAAAAAACTAAAAGCACTGAGAAGTGCGAAATTTGAAGAAATATGCAGTAGCAACAGAAATGATGACATAACTCAGGAACAAAAAGAAAATCCACAGAACTGCAATTGAGAAAAATGCAGATGCTTCTGGATAAAAAAACAAAACAACTTAGACTTTGTAATTAAAAACATCCAATTAAGTCTGACAACAGCCCGACAATAAAAGCTGTGATATGTGAGGTGTTACGCTAACACTCCAGATTCAGCTACTCCTTTCTTCCATGAAGACTTGTACCTGGAACCATCATTCAGCTTTGCAGAAACTGGCATTGGGTGTCTTGGAGACGCGACGCATCTAATGCTGCATTGCATTTGTCCTTACAACCTTTCTACTTGTGTCTTAACTCAGAGTGAGTCGAATTACGAGTCAGTGCAACAGGATGGTACCCGCCTTCTGCATTCAAGATGAGTCCTACTCGCTTTAAAAGCAGTTAACATTTCCTACTTTGATTCTGCAGCAGTTCTTTATCCTGTATGGAACATTAAGCCAGTTATTCCAAGTACTACTTTCAATTCTTTGTATAAGTGCAAAATAGCAAGTTAAGAACCGTTATTGGGATGCTTTAACTGATAAAATGACTTTGATGGCCATTGAGAATAAGAAGGTTTGCAACTGGAACTCATCAACCTTGGAGTTTACGTCACTAACTTACCAGTTATCTGTTCTGAAGATGAAGAGACACAGCCTAAGGCCCTGTCCAGATTAAGACTGGTTTGGGTGTATACAACAAGCATCTTGATTGCTTAGAGGGTCCCCAGCGAAATCTCGCTTTGAGTTATTGGTGCATCCATATCCAGCCTTGCTTTGCTCCAATTGCTCTATTTACATCGAACAAAATGTGTCCTTTGAATCACAGACCAATAATCTACTCAATTCAGTTTAATTATATAGCGCCAATTCATGACACGTCATCTCAAGGCACTTTACAGAGACAATTCAACCAGATAATACAGTAAAATTGGTTCAAAGTTTTCTAACTAAGGAAAACCAGTTGATTGCATCGACGCATTGACTTGAAGGCAATCCCTCACACTAAGCATGCTTGTAGCGACAGTGGAGAGGAAAAACTCCCCTTTAACAGGAAGAAACCTCCAGCAGAACCAGGCTCAGTGTGAGCGGCCATCTGCCGAGGCCGACTGGGGTTCAAGGAGACATGAAAATCTTTACCAATAGGGATAACATGTAAATCACGACTCCGTTCGCAGCGCTGTTGAGAACAGACCTTTTCTCTGCTGATAACTTATCAGCCTTTGAGTGGATGAAGCCAAAAAGCTGCAGGAGAGAAGACCTGAGCATCCCACATAATGAGAAGTTTTTGGGTCTTTGTCGTCACCATAAAACAGTCAAGTAATCTTTAATATTAGAGTAAAATTATATAGGATCTTTGTTTTATATCTTCAGCTTGTTTCTCTCATCCACTTTTCAGTAAAATATTAAGAGATTAGATGTAAGAACGAAAAGTGTTACATTAATTTCTAACTCCAGATAACTTTTCAGACCATCATACGCTGAAGGGTAATATATTCTACAAATGTGTAATGATCAATTAAAGTAAAGGGAAAAAACACATCTCTCAGATTGATTTTTCATACAATCATGTCAACATTTCTAATCTACACTACAAGTTTCTCACCTTAAAATAAGAAAAAATTGTCCTGATGTCTTCCTCGAATCCCATGTCGATCATTCTGTCTGCTTCATCCAAGGCCAGGTAGCGGCATATGTCAAGACTAACCATCTTCTTTTGGAGCAGGTCCATCAATCTTCCTGGGGTGGCCACCATCATGTGGACGCCACTGAAAAAAAGATGATGACATCATCCTTCCATCCTCTATTGAAACACAAGCTGCTACTTTGCTTTCTGTCATGACACTTAGTGACCTAAGGTGATTAACTGTGCTGCTAATAGAAAGTCTTTCTTCAGTCTCTCTGTTCCTCTCAGAGTCGCCTCAACCAAACGGCTCGTTGACAGATTCTTCGCCCCTGAACAAGCCAATCAGTCTCACTTACTGCTTCACCACCTCCATCTGCTCTTTGACAGACATTCCTCCGATGCAAAGAGCTGTGCGCAGCTGTGGCGCTCCTTCCTCTTCCAGCATCTTGCAGTAATACTCTATGATGCCATGAGTCTGCCTCGCCAACTCTCGCTGGGGAAAAAAGAAATAAAAATGTGCAGATGTAGTTTAATCAAGGTTTTTCCTAAACATTGCTTTGGTGGTTAAGGTTTAGAAACGAGAAGAGTGTGGGAATAATTACTGCCAGACTTGTAGAGGTGAATTGTAAACAAATTTAATTTGTGTGCATCTTGCTATTCTTTTTTTTTTTTTTTCGTTTTCACACCACATGTTTTAAAGATTTTCAAGTTAAAATAAATGTTAAATACATCTACAAAACTTATTGTTCCAGGACTAAATTAGCTTTCAGAAGTCCTTTTGTTCCAGAGCAACTATGTTGCTAAAGAAAACTTCTAAACTGGTGTGAGTGTGAACGTGCTGAAAAGTTAATGAAAAATGGTCCAACAATGAGCTGAAGTAAGCTGCAGCATTATTACCACAACTTTTGGCTAATTGAGTTTAAGCCTGAAATGATTCATTGGATTTATCGTTATTAGTAATTTAGTAATTGAATCATTTCTTAGAGCTATGGAACACAGACTCTAAAACGTGCCATTTGCTGAGAGATTGATTATTAACAGCAGGAAATAAGAAAACTCTACATATATAAACTATAAACATTTATAAACATAAGATATATATTTTTTATTGAAGATTAAACTGTTTCATATATATTTAAATTTCAAATATTTATTTGTTTAGAAATGTTAATGTATTAAAAGTATCTTTTGTTAGATCGATTGATCTAGGTATGGCAGTCTGATTTAACACAGTAAAGGTCCAAAAAATGAGATATTAATATTAAAGCACAGATTACTCGATTTTTAATGATCATTCTTTAACTGCTGCAAAGTAAGTATTTAAATGAATCCTAAGCATCAAAGAAAGTATCTTTAAGATCCTTAACAGTAGATGTGTGGTGTTTGTAGCCTCCGACCGTCCTTCAGCACAGCATCGGGTAAAAACCATCGTCACTCAACATTTTTTGTTCATTGGCATCAGAGCGAAAAATTCTCCAAACACAACTTTTGTCTTTTCCAATTAAGAGGGTCACAAAGGTTTTCATACTGGGCACTTTAGCAGAGTTCAAACACTTCTGTCAGCAGCCGTATGGCATGAAGTTTGTCCCATTATTGTTGCAAGCAAAGAACATGTTTTTTCTAATGAAATTAGGAAAAAAAAACAAAAAAAACAACAACATTGTGTAAATGGACACCCTATTCCTCTATAACTCAGTTTGAAGAGAACAACATTCATAAAAAGATAAATTTGAAGAAAAAAAAACAATAGAAAATGTAAAAGCATTTGCATTTGTCCTTAGGGATACTATGAACATCCACCTCATTCAGCTTGAATGCACCTTAACATTTCATAAATGTTTGATTTATAAAACAAAAACCATCAAACATAAATCAACATGAAAATTTGAAAAATCAGTCAGTGGCAAATGTTCTAATCACAGACTGTAATTAGATTAAAACTGCTAAAAATGTTGTCCATGTTTACATAGCGACAATTCACAAGACACTTCATCTTAAGGTCCCTAACATAAAATAAAAAATTTAGAGAATTAATGTTTTTCAGTAGCTACGTTTACATGGACACAACTAATCGGATTGAAGGCCTGATCAGATCAAAAATGTTTCATGTAAACATGTCAGACTGAAGATTCTAATCCGATTCGGTCCGATCGGAAATAAATTTAATTCCGAAAGAGAGAGGAGGTTTTTGCCGATCGCCATTCTGATTGGCGTCCATGTAAACACCCATTCGGATCTTAAGAGTAAAATAATCTTCACTGCGCATGTGTGCGACGTCAGCGTGACGTTTTTCCGCCTTGTCAACAACAGGAAACCACCGGTCGCTCTTGCTCTTGTTGTGAACAACATGGCGGGGGGAGTCTAGGAACGCCGACTTATACACTCAAGTTCATTTAAAGCTGCAGGAAGCAGGAATTTATCCTCCTCCTCTTCCTCTTTTCTCTCTCCACAGCCCACTCGCTCTCCCACGCCGGTTCAATCGCTCATTCTCTACATTTTCTCTCGGACATTTCGCTGCCAAGCGCTTTTTTCCTCCTCTCTCCGTTTTTCTTTCCGCTCGCTCCGAGCGCATCGTTTGTCAGGCCTCCCAAAAACCAGACGCAGACAGAACTGCCAAGTTTGGCAGGAAGTTCTGCGCATGCTTAAAAGATTTAATCTGATCCAACGCTTGGTACATGTATACACACGTCATGATCGGATCATTTCATTTAGTGTCCATGTAAATGGAGATTTTGAATTTCCGATCAACCAAGGTTTGGATCGGATCGGGGAAATTTTGCGCATGTAAACGTAGCTAGTGTTAATTATAACAGAACAGTTGATTACTTTGACAATCCCACTGAGGACTAAAAGATTAGTATATATAATATCTATATGTATTGATCTAATTCCTCATTATTTGCTTCCATTTAACACAAAATAAAATGTTCTGATTGTCTCTATCCTCAGTGAAAACAATTAAGTGTGGAGTGTCTTACTGAAGGACAGATGATGAGTCCATATGGTCCCTCTCTCTTGAAAAAAGGCAGACGCTTCTCCTGCTCCAGGGCAAACATGATGATCGGCAGGGTGAAGACCAAAGTCTTTCCTGACCCCGTGAAGGCGATGCCAATCATGTCTCGACCTGATAGGCTGCACACAAACACGGTCAGTCCATTAAATGCATTAAATTCAAACAGAGATCACATTTAGTCTACCTCCATGCAGAGCACTTACACTGTGGGGATTCCTTGAATCTGAATTGGGGTTGGATGGATAATCCCCTTCTTTTTTAAACCTTTGAGAATTGCTTTTTATAGAAGAAAAAAAACAAAGCAGAAATAATAAATAGGAGAGATATAAAACCACTGAGGGGATTTTTTTTGTACGAGGTGTCACCTGGAGGAAACTTCATCTCCCTGAAGCTTTTGATCGGGGGAGGGATGCCTTCTCCATCCACTAGGATGTGAAATTTCTTTCTGGCGCGTTCGTGTCTTGTCTCTGGCATATTTAGGATGTATCGCGGTGCCTTCCAGCTACAAAAGAATATCCATCAGATTGAACGAAACCCAGCAAATGAAAGAAAACTTATAAAGAGGAAAAGCTTCCAAACAGACAGGCGGCTCACCTTGTTTTAATTGGGTCATCATATATGATACCTTTGGCCATTTCCTTTACAGACATCAGGGCTAACAGAAGGGAGTTCAATTTTGCATGATTAGTTTTAACAAAAAAGTTTGAATTCTAAAGATCTTGGAAACGTTTTCGTACCTCTGCCCTCAGCCACACTTTCCAGGATCTTCTCTTCCTCTTTCAGCTGTTTCTCTTTGGCAGACTCCTTACGAGCTGTGTGCACAAACATGTAGAAGCTAATTACAATCCTGTACAGCCAAGGTAGAAACAGAGATACAAGTGAAGATCTACTCTGCACCTTCTGCTTTCTCTTTGAGATGTTGATGTTGGTCAAGGAGACTAATATTGGAGCGTGGACCAAGGCCTTCCTCCTCATCCCGTTGTTCCTCTCCGCTATCCTTCTGCTCCTCATCCACAGCCTTCCCACGCAGACGTAACATCTTCTGGAGCTATAAACATTCAAAAAACAAATACTGGAAATTACAAGTTTGTTTTTCCATAAGTGAATTGGTATAAGACAACGAAAACAAAGGAAGATTTAGATATATTAGTAAGACAAACGCTACGTTCACACTGCAGGCCTTAATGCTCAATTCCGACTTTTTTTGTGAAATTCGATTTTTTTGCGTTGCTGTTAAAATTTCCAAATATATGTGACATGTATGTGATCTCCTGTGTGAACTGCATTCATACAACCTAAGTGTCCTGCATGTGCAGTAGAGGACGCAATGATGTCACAGGCCAGCGTGCTCCGTGTTTACGGAAGTAAACATAGATGGTAGCACAGGAGCACATCTAGCGATCTTTCCCAACCTTAAAAACTCGATCTTTCCAAGATGGTTAAACAAAATACTACTCTCCACATTATTGTCCACCATTGTTATTTTTTTTCTTGCCAATTCTGCGTAGCAAGAAGCAGAAGAGTGACCAGTGTCAGATATTAATGACATTTAGGTCGGATGAATGCGACCTGGCTGTTCAGACACAAGTCGCATTTGAAAAGATCAGATTCACATCGGATTCAGGACCACAGAGCCAAGCAGCCTGGGTTCCATTTGAAAAAAATTAATCGGATCTGTGTTGTTCAGACTGTCATGAAAAAATCAGATCCAGGTCGCATGTGGGCTAAAAATCGGATTTGGGTCACTTCAGGCCGCGGTGTGACCGTAGCCAAAAAGTCTTATAAAATGTGATTGAGTCACTTTGGAGAGAAATCTTAACCGGATTTCTGTTACCTTCGATTACTAGAGTAAGATATCTCACCATTTGTTGTTTCCGTATTTTGGCTGGAACATATGGGACATAATCATCATCCTCTGATCCTTCTGAGCCCGACTTTCCTTCATCTTCATACGATCTCTGTGGAAACACAAATATCAAAATCATCAAAACCCTGTTAAAGTGTATCTGCTTTCATGTAACAAAGAATTTATGGATAGGAGCTAAATGGTAACCCCAAAAAAAGCACTAAAGCACATTGTGATTCAACAATTATTTTTAGAAACTTGTCATGAGGAATTTGAGGATTATAAATACATTACTGAGTTAAAGAGTGAAATTTATCATGATACAGTTTCACGGCTGAATACATGGTTTGTTTGGTGGATGATTTTTATGCCAACAATCAGATAAAAAAATGAATTTTAAAATATTTACTTTAATACTTTATCCTTTAGCATGCTTTATCCACACCTGGAGCACGTTCAGTTTAAACCCAAAGCTTCCCCCATCCCTTTAAACTTTAGTTAAAGAGACACTTTATCGTTTCCATGACTTATAAACGGTGGTAGTTTCTACAGTGTTAATCATTTTATTAGCTTCTCCAAAATCAATGTTCACAACGTCAACAAGCAATGCAGTTTCTGTTCACTTTATTCTTATATTTATTAAAAAGTTGTCGCGTAATTTGTTTAGACTTAGCTGAAGTCATAACCGTTTTAATATTACCATTCATATAAAAGCACACTGGTTATTAATCCTCTGAAACGTCAACATTGTGTAGTTAGCATGGGTTACCGATTCGCGAAGACCCATGCTAATTTTGCTTTAATATATACATTTAACCAAAAAACACACTTTAACATCAAATTTTTTCTGTAAAATACAATTACATTACATTAAGGTGTTTATTTTAATGCGCACAAAAAGTACACTTAAAAGAAGTTAGTTAGCATGCTAATATTAGCTTCCAATGGCTAACTTCAAACGGTCGGCAGCGGGGATTTTACTTACCTTTAGCACCCGATTTTCGCTCTCCATTTTTATTTATTTTTACGAAATGTTACTTTGTATGCTTTGTGGTTTGGCTACAAACCATACGTCAAGGAATAAATTCAATTATAGTAGAAATCCAGCATGTTTTCATAACACAGGAAGCTACTCGTGTAAGGCACGCCGGGAGGGTCAAATCACTCGGAGTCGCATCTTCTGAAACTAGCGATGGACGAAACGACCGCTGTACGGAAACCGCTACGGGCCAAAAATGATTTAAAAAAGATAAAACAACACACCTGCGTTTGTCAAAACTGTATTGTTTTAATCTTTCCGGACGAAAGATTTTTTTTTTCACAGTATCAAAAGTGAATTAAAAAAAGAAACAAGCCAACATACACTTGGCTGTTGTTGGTATAGTATAAATCTACATTCAAAACATTAAGATAATATTTTCTAGTTGGAGTATAACCTGGAAAGCGTCAGAGATGTTACATTAAAACAGAATTTCAGGACAGATTTAAAAAGAAAAAAAAAATCATCTTCATCAAAGCCATCAGGCAAATACATTGACACCGTGTAAAAACCTAAGGCTGTGTCCTAAAGGTCTCGTCTATTATTGTTTTCAAGAAAACACTTGGGAGGAGAGTTTCAAGTTAACAGTACAGGTCAGAGCAGTATGGTTGAAAAATGAAACTCACACATATACACAAAAAAACCCTCAGGAAGGTGAGAATAAAGGCAAAGGGGCAAAAAATATGAATTCATTACTGTATGTACAAGCATTTAAATTAACCGCAACACACAAGATCAGAGTGAAAACTGAACAGTGCGCTGCCAAGCAGGAGCTGAAATAGCAGTTTAGAGAGTAAGCACTTCATGGCAAAAGGGGGTTTTCTTCAACATCAGAATGCATTGGACATCTCTGTAATTCTTCATAACGAGCACAGAAGGGGGACTGACACTAAAGCAGATTTTCCCAGTACAAGACAGGAGCAAAGGATTCAGTTTCTTTTGTGTAGAACACACCATGCATAGGGATGGCATCTGCAGGGGTTAAGGTGAGAGAAATTACATTTACCATAAATCCCATAGACCAAATCTAAAAAAAAAAAAAAAAAAAAAAAAAAAAGACATGAATATTGATATTAGTGTTTCTCTCAAATCTATTGGTTTAAAAACAAACATGCTATGTTGTTTTTTTTTCTTTCAATTTCATAACAAGAGGGTCAAGTTGGAAGGGAGATTCTTGCAACTGTTGTAGCTATCTCACTAGTTGGTGATGTCTTATCTTTTAACATTCATACAAAATATATGGTGATCCATTCTGACAGCTGTAAATCGCTAGCATACCGGGGTAAACTGTAGGAGTGCAGGTTGTGATGAATGAGGACGAAAGATTCAGTTTCACTTGATTGGGATTCAGTTTAACAACTTTAACATTTCTCAGATTTGTGATAAAAACCATTTATTTCATTTGTTTACATACTACATACGTAAGCACATGGATGCAGTTGAATCAACACTTTTCTCCATTTCTGTAGGACTCATTCAATTCATGTCGCAATATTAATAAAAAAGGGTAGAGTTGGCCTTGAGAACGCTAACTGGGTTCACGTTTCAGTCTTTTTAGTGAAGATATAGAAACCAGGGTCCCTTGGCTTTGTCAGAAGAAGAAAACTGGGAATGAGAGAAGGCCTCAGGCCAAACGGGGCTCTGCTGAAAGAGTTTGATGTGAGGATTTTCCTTTTTTTTCCCTCCCCCTCCGTCTCTCATCCGAGTTATTGAGCTGCATTGGAAGGAACTTTTTTGAGGCTGAAGTTTGACCAGTTCACTGCTACTTTCTGACGGGTTTGCTTTGCAGAATCAAGACAGAACCTGTGGGAAGCAAAGGGGAAAAAACAGGATGAGTAGAGCACATCAAATTTAACACCACCAATTAGATATGCATAGAGATGTCAGCAGATGTTCAGCATTATATGCCTCAATTGGTAACTAGGAACTCCAAAACATCATCTTTTTCTCAGCTCACCAAGACCAGCACTTATCTGTGCCAAAGTTGCTTCTGACGGAAGAGGACTGAGGTGTAACTTTTAGCAGAATCAGTGAGATGTTTAAAATTAAGCCAGAGGGGAGATGTAAGATGATGTTTTTAACATGCTGAGAAATGTAAGGTTCATTTATGCTGCGACAGTGGGATGGTGCGTTCACAACAAACGTATTTTAAGGTTCAAAAAGGCGTCCAATACCTAAACTTGGACATCGGGTCACAGAGGCTCGACATTCAACGTTCTTTTTATTTTATTTATCCTTTATTTAACCAGGTAATACCCATTGAGATTAAAAATCTCTTTATCTTGCAATCTAAAAAGTGGCATAGCTTTATTTGAAGTTATGAGCTGGAAAAAAATATTTTAACATATTTTTAAGCAAGAAACCTCAAAACATCCTTAGTTTATCAGGATTATGATCCTACTAAAAGCTCTCTGAAGATGGCTAGGATGTCTGTTTTTTTTTTACTGCCGTTAGTAGCAACAGAAAATTAATAAAAGGTGTTTTTTTTTTTACAGGTTGCGTTAAAATCTGCAAGCACTGAACATTTTTCACTGGCAGGTTTTGGCATTTTTAGTTGATGTAGGTATTTATAAACTGTTTGGCTACAGTTCAGTAGAGAATGTTTCTCTATTTATCTTGTAGATAATAAAATAAAATACCTTCTCCTGCCTTTTTAAATCCACTGGAGTTTTATCCCTTTATATATTTTTATATAAAGGGATCCCGGCTGTCTGACAGCTCCTGGATCAGCTTCTGACTGGTTGATTCTCCGCATCTAGCAGATGAAAGTTACGATTCAAACATCCATTGCTCTCGACGGTAGAAACACTGCAAGACTGGCTGCCCCTCCAGCTCTAATCGTGCCACGCTCCTACATCGCTTCTCCCTGACACGTAAACTTCCTTTAGTGTGAATACACCAGAGACAGAGCGACACTTTAGACAGACAATAGGAGGTCTTGACAGAGTAAAATAAAGGTGTTTTATCCTTTTTGCGTTTAACATTTGCCCTTTACGTACCACAAAGGATCAGGAAAAATAGGAAGCTTTTAATCAGCACAGAATTCCGGGTTTACATTCCTTAAATAATTGGGCTTCTTTTCTATGCAATAGTAACTGCTTTTTTAGGCATGGTACTTTAACGCATTCATTTTGGTTTAATAGAAATAAATCAAAATTAATAAATAAATTACAAATAAAATAATTTATCTTTGTGTTTTATTAAAGTTAACTGGAGGCTGAGGTCCTATAAACAGCCCATTGGATTATTTTTCTATAATCTCTCTCAGCTCAGCTCTCAGTATCCACCCCTCCTCTCATTGTCTCTAGCCAACTGGAGTCGGAGTCACATCATGTCCGCTGTAAAAATCATTGACGAGGGTGAGAGGGTGAGTGTCTCTAAGCAGATGCAGCAAACATCTGAAAAAAATGCGGATATATTTAGGGCAAGAAGTGCGGCAGAACCATTGGAGTCAAAAACTGCAAAGTGATCCGAGGCGGAGATGGCGATAAACTGCTGAGGAGAAGAAGGATGTCTGAATAAATCCTAACAGTCTGCTAAGAACTAGCTGAAGAAGACAGAATTAGCTGAATTAATTAAGTGATAAGATTTGTTTTTGTCTTCCAAATAATACCATAACAGCAGCACGGGTAGGAGAAGGAACTAATTCTGACATAATAGAGATTATATGTCAGCATAAGGTCTAATCTAATGTAACAGAGAAATGTTTTATGTAGGAAAAGAAGAGCTATAGGGTGGAGAGGCCATTATTGGACTCGATGTGATGATCAGAGGAGCCAACGCTTATTAAGATTAGCTCTAAAGATAGTTTTACTCAAGTTAAAGTAAAGCAGAAATTGTCATTCACAAAAAAACAGTTAAGACTAATAAATGGTTTGGTAAAAAGGAGGCTCAACTTGACCTTCATGTGGATTAAATGTTTAAACACGCTTAAAATGAAATAATCAGGTAGAAAAACTTAAAATTATATGTACTGATGAATTTCAGGCTTGTATAACAAAAGCGTTAAAAACAATAAATATGTGTTGTTGTGCTCATATAATTATGTTTAATCAGAAAAAAAAATTTTTGAATTGAAAAGATGGTTTATTTTGTCACTTTATGCTTTTCCATCAAAATGTGATTAATTAATTACAGAGCCTATAATTGATTGTATTAAAAATGTTAATTGGATCCCACCACTTTTCTATTGTGACAGGCTGTTAGAATGAAATATGTTGGTGAGAAACCCTTATGAAGTTGTTTATATGTTCCATGTTAATATGAGCTGGAAGGCTACAAATATGACAACTAGGGAAAAAAAATCATTATTAGCAGGTTGATCTAATGATTACTGCTCTGGTTTAAACCTCAACTTTTTTTTAAATACAGCTGTATTGTAGGACAGGAAATGATGGTCATTATACGGTAGATAAATTGAAAAAAAAAATCAAAATAATAATGTGGTTACAAAGAAAACAAAGAAAAAAATCTTAAATTTCTAATTTAATGTTGAATCTTTACAGGACAAAACTTGGATATTTTCCCAAGCTATAAAGTCATTAAACTGGAAAAAAACAAAGAAACATTTTAGTTAGACTTACAGGAACATATTTGTAGTATTTATAAAACCAGAGTTATCTGTGGCGTTTGTGACAAAAACAGCAAAAGACCTCTTAGATTAAAGAGGTAAATTGATGAGAAGCAGATATGGGTGAATGTTTATTTTTTTATAAAGGAAAGCCCAAAGACCCGGGCTCACCGCCTTATCAGGACATCTCACAGGTGCTGACTCACCATTAGTCAATGCTGCATTTGGACCTTTAGCATCGCCTAAACATCTCTAAATTGAGTTTATAATGTCTGACAATTTATTTTTGTCCTACAAGGGTCTAAATTTCTTAGCTGCAATAAATTACATGTATGCATTCCATTACAAAAATAGTCAATTATTTTTGCAATGTGACAAAAGACTGACAAGAGAGGATATCCAGGTTATTTTCTTGTAAACTGTGAAATGATCCAGAATTTTCTTCTCGTCATTTCTTCTCTACCGTTTTACAGTAGAGCTAATTGTTAGTGGTAGTACTGTGTTTACCTTTTAAAGTATTCCACCTCCCGATCAATCTCATCCATCTCTGTTGGATCCACATCTT